TTCTCGTAATTATTACTTTAAAACTCGAAATTATGACTTTTATTCTCGTTATTACAACTTTAAAACACGTAATTATGACTTTTACTCTCTAAAATATTACTTTAAAACTCAAAATTATGACTTTTATTCTTGTAATTATGGCTTTAAAACTCGAAATTATGACTTTAAAACTCGAAGTTATGACTAAAACTCGTAATTATGACTTTTATTCTCATAATTATGATTTTAAAACTCAAAATTATGACTTTTATTCTCGTAATTATTACTTTAAAACTCGAAATTATGACTTTTATTCTCGTTATTACAACTTTAAAACACGTAATTATGACTTTTACTCTCTAAAATATTACTTTAAAACTCAAAATTATGACTTTTATTCTTGTAATTATGGCTTTAAAACTCGAAATTATGACTTTAAAACTCGTAATTATGACTTTTATTCTCGTAATATTACTTTAAAACTCGAAATTATGACTTCCTGTTGGGCTTTTATTTTTTCTTTCGTGACGGAAATGGGCTTCCATAATAATGTATCATTTATTGTTTCCAGAAAAAAATTGCTTCAGACCTTCCCAGAAGAATTTGTAAAATCCTCTAGTTAGACCATCTTGGCCTGACTCTTTTCCAGCAGCTTGTTTTTTCATCACTCCGTCTAATTCTAATTTTATTGTTTATCGTTTTGTTCTACAGCTGCGGGGGCAACCCCGGTTGCCTAGCAACCGTGTAGCTTAAGTTTCTTGCGTCACTGGAGCTACCGCTTAAAGCTAGCTGTGTCATGGCGAAGTTTGTCCTCGCCGGTAAAGTTAAATGTTTCATTCGCTTCTCTTCGTGTCTAAAATCAGGTTTTACATGATTATTTAAATTTGTACAGGAAAAGCAGACTGTCCCAACTACGCCAGGGCGGAACTTTTAGCAGACGAACTGCAGCGCTCGCTGCCAGATTTCCGGGTCCACAAGATCCGCATCCTGCCAGAGGAATGGAAGGTTAAAAACATGATCGTGACTTTTCTTTGCGTTTGCATCAACTTTCCAAGAAAGTGAAACACGTGCAACATGTGGGGAAAATAAAAAAATAAAATCATGAGGTAGCATAGTCAAATCAAATTTATTTATAAAGCGCATTTAAAACAGCAGCTGTTACCAAAGAGCTCAATAAAGTCAAAGTGGGTAATTTCATGGGGGAAAAAGTAATAAAAATAATGATCGTGTTTTGGACACAAACATATATTTCACGTAAGAATGTATACTCTTATTTTGAAAGGACGTTTTTTCTGAGTTTGATGGAGTGACCAAAATATTTTGAGTCTCGCTTTATTCTCCACGTCTCAAGGACTCTGCGGTCTACACTCATCTCCAGGCCAGAGGTCACTCTTTCAGGGATGAAGATGTTCACATCCTGGACAGAGAGGAACGATGGTTGGAGAGAGGAGTAAAGGAGGCCATCTTTGTGAAGAGAAACCATCATTAAACAGGGGTGGAGGCCTCCGGGTTCAACTGTCCCCCTCTTACAATGCTGTGATTGCTAGAATCATTCCTTCTTGACCATGTGAGCAGCTGGTTTTGGTTGTCAGCAGGAAACTGGTTGATCCACTCTGAGAAGGTGCTATTTATAAGACTGAGCTGAATACGGCACCTCAGACTGAGGAAGTCTTTCGGATGGACCAGATTTAACTTCTACTATTATTATTGGATTATTGAGCATGCATCAGGATATACTGAATATGTAAAAAAAAGTGTATTCTTCAATCATATTTATAAATATTTTCCATGATTAAGATTTAATAATGATGCAAAAGAAATTTAAACTTATGTACCTATTAATTATTGCATTCTTATATTTTTAGTGCCGTTTATTTTTGTCATTCATTTTATTGCCGGCTGCTTTATTTGCTCTCCGTTTTGGATTCCGACAGGGATGGCTGGAGTCCACGTGCGAAAGAAACGGCTGGAAGCACGACGACTCCCCGCTGGTTTGGAGAGAACTGGTGTATCGAGGGGGTAAAGGGATGCTCTTGGGGGGTCTTGGTGACTTCTTGAAGCATTGCCAGGTAGGCACCAACAGTTCTTCCGGCTTCGAGCTCCTTCCAAACCTAAAGGGCTTCAACTAAATATTCCAGGACTACTACGGCGTCACGTCAGACATGCCGGCAGAGTTGGCGCAGCGGATCGCGGCAGAGAACCTCGCAGAACAGATGGGCCTTAGTGCCGACGAACAGCTTCCTCTCAGTCTATTCCAACGCCTCCATGTGTGGATCACGGGGTGAGTTTGCCGGAAACCTTCGAAATCAAACGAACGCTAGGTGCTAACGGATGCATCTTTGCAGCGCGCTCAGCCCAACGGGCCACATCTTGATCCCCCACCTGTTGTCTGCCGAGGCGTTTCCCAAAGTTCCTGCAGTCGTCCTCCACTTACTGGACCTTGAAGGGGACGAGGAGGAAATGCAGGCGCTGCGGATGGACGTTGAAGACCTGGCGCTCGGCGTGCTCCATCAGGTGCGTAACTTCCACTAATGTTTTTGATCAGTGCTGTAATGTAACGAGTAGAAATACTTTGTACTCAAGTAGAATTTTGACGCGTCTTTACGAAGGAATCGGATTGGGCGATGCCCGTTTGTTCTCCCAGTCTGCGACTTCACGTGGCCCCTTCTCCCTCACCGACACGCTCAATCGCAAACCCAGCCCCTCCCCCACGCGCTGCAGCTGCCGCTGTGAACAAGCTAGATGCAGATACCAGTCGTTACAACAGGTCTTTGTTGACTCACAGTGGAGCCACTGTGAATTCCTGATAGGCGTGAAAATGATGATAGCTGCTAAAACGGAGAGGTTTGGTGTTTCTGGTTAGAGCAGCAAGGTATGAAGTTGTCGGGCCACTAGTCTTCCCATTAAAGAACGCGGAGACTGATATCCAGTTTAGGGTGATTTCATTTGCCGCGTTTCTTCTGGTATTTAGTAAACCAGTAAAGCGCAAACAAGCTTGAACAACAAAGCTCCGTCCGTGTCAGGAGAGAAAATAGAACCCTCCAACGGAGCTCTGCACTTTGCACAGAGCGGTGCGTTCAAGAGCATAGGAACTATTAAATTCAGAAAGAAACGAGCCACAGCAAGCGAACAGAACCGAGCTCAGTGAACAATGTGGGCTTTCTAACAGCGTTGTTAATAAACGGTAATAAAGGTTGAATGAACCAAGTTTTTGTCATTGGATACTGCACCCAATACATTTGGAATTCTAACTATTCACTTTTACTTAATACTCTAAGTATTTTATATGATAAATTTACTTTTGATACTTAAAAGTATCCGACATTTAATGCACTTAAGATTTTTACTCAAGTAATAAATTTTAAAGGAGACTAACTTTTACCAAAGTAATTTTTACGGTAAGATACTTGTACTTTCATTGGAGTATCACTTTGATGTACTTTATCCAACACTGGTTTTAATGTCCCACCAACGTCAGCAACCGTCTTATGGAAATGAATTGTTCAGGTGACGGTTCACACAGATCTGGAGCGGGCCTTCCAGGAAGCCGATGTCGTCCTCTTGCTGGACGACTTCAGCTCGCAGACGGAGAGCGACGAGGAGGAGGAGGAGGTGTCGGGGCGCTACGGGACGTACGGGCAGCTCATCGACGAACGAGCCGGCAAACGGGTGAAGGTGATCGTGTCCGGCGAGTCGTCCAACTTGAGGTGCTCGCTTCTTGCGGGAAACGCACGCTCCATCGACGGCAGTCGGTTCGTTGCCACGGCAACGCAGCTGGAAGACGAAGCCAGAGCGATAATTGCGAAGGAGATGGGAGTGAGGCCATCAGGTATCCGCGTCGAGTTTTCCTGCCTCGTTGTTGCAGCTCCACCTCAAATCGGTGTTTTTCCCCCTGTAGATGTCAAAGATGTGTTCGTGTGGGGGAACATCCGTGGAGTTTTCTTCATCGACGTGCAGAGGGCGAAGGTTTTCAACCACCGCGGCGCCGTCACAGGACCTCCTTTCTTTTCCCAGTCACTTCTGGAGCTTTCACCTGGCAGGTCCGTCACACGCAACGGTTTCAGTTTATATTCTGCTTTGATCCATCATCGTCAGTCGGCAATAAATAACCCGACAACTGGAGGGGACTTCACTCCACGTGCTTCCTTCCAGGAAGTGGTCAGAAGCGGACTTCCTGCAGCAGCTGCGCGGTCACCGTTTAGCCGTGGCTTCAAAGACCGGCCGACCTGCCGCCATGTCTGCCGCCAACGGGATCCTCAGAGTCCTGAAGGCTTGGTGCGGCGCTTCTGGTCCAGATGACATCCTGTCCGCTGGCGTACTCTGCTCAGGTGAGACCTGATCAAACAGGAGGAAGGACTTTCCACCTCGCCTGTGTTAAAGCGTTCCTTATCCACCTCCAGGTGTGTTTGGGCTCCCAGCTGGAACCGTCCTCTCAGTTCCGGTAACGTTTACAGACGGCGTGTGGTCCGTGCTCTCCGACGCGACGGTCGACGACAAACTGAAGGAAAAACTTGAGCGCTGTGCAAAAGAACTGCAACAGGTTTGTTACGTTACAGAAAAAGCACATTGTCTCGGATAAAACAACTACCGTAATTGCCGGTCTATAAAGCGCACCCAAATATAAGCCGCGTGCGCACACACAAAATATCTATGTTGTATGTAAATACGCCACAACCGTGTATAAGCGATGGATTCAAATCCTGTGAAAATAGTAGTGGCTTATATACCATAAAGTACGGTAATTAAAATCTAGAAAATCCAGAGATTCTGACATTTATGCTCGTTTTTTTAAATTTGTTGCAGACCTGAATTGTACAAATAAACTTAACAGGACAAAACATGAAATGGAACAAAAGTTGATTAAATTAATTTCTCCTGTTTTTGATCCTGTCCAAACTTTAATAAATCCCTTTTTTTTATTCTTTTCCCAGGAAAAGCAGATTGGATGACGAATTAAAACCTTTAGACGCGTCAAAAACATCCTTCAAATAATAAATAAATAAATATATGTAGAAGTGAACCAAGACGACGACTGGATATTTATCAGTTTTTTTATTCGCTTTTATTTTCCCGCTTTATCAAACCCGTCCACTGCAACTACTTTATGGAAAAATAATTTAAAGTTATATTTCTTTTTCCTCATCTTCTTAAATGAGTCACATTTAGGCAGAAAAACACATTTGAAGACCCTTTAAAATCACATTTTATTACTGATTTACAGCATTTACAGCAAACGTTTATTCCATCATTAGTAACAAAATAAACAAAAAAATAATAATCTATAAGCTTGTTTTAACCAGGAACATTCTAACTAGTATTTTATTTTTTCCACAAATTGTGCATTTGACAAAGAACTTGGACAGAGTGCAGATTTTACATGCAGAAAATACACCGTTTTTAATTTATTTTATATTTCTACACTATAAAACAACTGGAGAAAACAGGGTTAGTAGGAACACGACGCTCTACAACAGATGGGGTAATGAATACACATCCTGTGGCGTTCTGATTCACCCCCGGGAGGAGGATGCTGCGGAGGTACCAGAAACACAACAGGCCCTCGCATCCAACTGAACTTGGGTTTTTGATGACTTTTTATAAAGACGGCAACGAAAAAGTAAAAAAAAAAAAAAAAACATGAAAATCGACCGCAAATGTTACATGCGTGATGCGCCGCATGCAAAAACAAATGTCCAACAGAACACGGCCTACTCAACGAGTCCTTCAGACAAATTCAGTCATGTATGGATCAACTAACACAGATGCAACAACTCCTATTCACAACTGTTAATAAAAAGTGTCGCCCGCCCCCAGAGAGGCTTTTCTTCTTCTTTTGCATAAAAAGTCTTTTTTGTGTGTGTCATTGTTCAGTTCTTAACATCCAAGAATGTCAAAGAATCCATTCTCAGGCAATAAATCCCCAAAAACTGATTCAACTCAAATGGTGCAAATGTGGATTTTTTTGTCTAACAATTACACCTGAACACACACTGTGCCATTAAAACACGTATATACAATCTTTATGAGTTAATCACAGGAATAAAATATTCTCTTAATTCTCCCCTAAGGTTTTTAATAAAGTTTCATCAGCTGTAAATTAAATAAAATAACTTATATCACATGTATTTATTATATATATATATATCCAACATTTTACCCATTTTTATTTAAAATATTTAGATAAACTAGTGGCACCCAACCGTGGTCCTTGAGGAACACAGTCCTACACGTTTTAGTAGTTTCCCTGCTCCAACACACCTGATTCAGTGATTTAATTACTTGCTAATCACCCATTCATTCAAACCAGGTGTCAAAGCAGGGAAACAGCTAAAACATGCAGGATGGTGTTCCACAAGGACCACGGTTGGGTACCATTGAGATTAACATCTGCTTGGACGGATTCAACCGGTAGCTAATGCATCCTAATTGTTCGCAGGATGCTTAACTTCACCAGATTTAGATTTTTATGCAATAATAAACAACAACCGTTTTATCGAGTCAACGGGCAACAAACGAAGCCTCAACTGTAGCAGCCACATGGCTCAGATGTTTGTTTCGTTTAAAAAAAAAAAATGCTCCAAGGGGACATACCATGAAAAGAAAATTGCGTTATTTGTGCTTGAGATCATGCATTTGATTGTTTGCAACTGATAAATGTGCAAATTAAAAATAAAATGAAGCCCACTTACTTTTATCTGGAGCCTTCATTATCTCTGGAACTGCATTAAATCCCCAACAGGGTCAGATTATTCTACCTTTATCTGTAACCTGTAATCACTGAACGGAGAAAATAAAAACTTGGGCTAGTTTTGGTGAGACAGCATATTTAAGAATTACATTATTTATGTCTAATCCATGACTCGATGTAGGAGTAGAAGGGTTAGCAGCTCAACAAATACAACTGAAGGCTGTAATCTTGTATTATGACCAGAGCACGCCTCAGATACGTTAATCTGTAAACTGTACCAGCTTGTAAGAAAACAAAACAAACGTACGTCCCGTTCAATGGGACGGTAAGGCTTCGTTAGTGTGACCTCCACCAGATAGCATCTTCTGAACGTGAAACAGCTCAGATACCGAAGCTGAGAAGAACGCTGAAATGCGAAAGCAGAATGTTTTCAGGCACCTGCCACGATACCGCCAAAATAAAACGATAATAATTTGTCGTGTACGAGGGTAAATAAGGTTGTTTCAACGGAGAATAGTAAAAACAAAAGGGATACATGTGGGGACGAGTGTGGGCTATGACTGTGCATGTAGAGATATGGTTGTGTCTGGAGCCGCTCCCCCCACCTCTCCGTCCGAGCCGGGCTCCAGCCCCTCGTCCACCTGCTCCAGTTCACTTTGGTCCAACACCTCAAAGTCCTCTTCCTCGGTCGGGACTAGCGTGTCGTCAGGGAACTCCTCGCCGGCGCTGCTTTCCGTCGTGACCCCCTCGTCCAGGTCCCTGTCGGGATCCAGCGCCCCGGCTGCAGTGTCGGCGGCGTTGGTGGACTGGGTGGGGGTCTCCAGAGGGTCCGGTGGGGTTTCAGCAGGGACGAACTCGGCGAGGGACGGCTCCTCGCTGGCCTCGCCGGAGCGCAGCAGGGCCGACAGAGTGTTCTGCACCACGGTGGAGATGGCCGTGCTCACGATCTCCTCGCTCAGCGCCTCCAGGGAGCGCTGGGTTCCCTGGGTCACCGCTTCGCGTCCCTCTGCCACAGGCCTCTGCGCCCCGTCCGCGGCGCCGGGTGGCCGCCCGTGTCCGTTGAAGTGCGAGTTCACAAAGTGCAGAGGCGAGGCCAGGTGCTGGATGAGGAGGCTGGCGGGACTCAGCGGTTCCTTCTCTGGTTCGGTGCCGGCCTGCGCCCCGTCTCCCTGAGCCGAGCCTCGCGGGGGGAAGTGCAGCAGGCTGTGCTCGCTGGCTGGGAACTCCTCCACCGAAGGGAACTCTGGGAGATCCCGCAGGAAGGCCTCCTCGGGGTCGCTGTGTAAACTCTGCTGGTCCAAGTCTGTAACACAAAGGTTGGTCCGTCGAACGTTTGGCCTTCATCCTTCGTTTTGTTCTGAACCGTCGTGTGAGATTTACCTTCAGAGAGGTCCGTTAGCTGCGGGGTGGTGGCTCTGGACACCGAGAACCCGCCGCTCTCCAAAATAGACGCCTCTTCGTCCGACAGCTCCGAGTCCGTGATGGCCATAGCCAGAGCCGTAGTTTTCACATCCACCTGATCACAAAACACAACCATCTTTTCAAAACGCTCGTGTTAAATCATTTTAACGATTTGTTCGCACCGGGGGGTGTCGGTTACGAAACGTGCCCAGAATTAAACATTTACTTTAAGCCAGGGACCAATTTTAGTCAACACGTTATAGCCGGTCAGATACTCCACGTTCTCCGTCGCGCTTTCCGCATCAAAATCAAAAATTAAAGGGAAAATTCAAATTAATTTTTCGTGGTTTCAAGTCGACTACCGTGATTTCCACCGTACACGTCGCACCGCCCTATAAGTCGCATCGATCATGCGTCAGCGCTGACGAAGTGTGGGCCGGTGTTGAGGCAAAAATCGATTGGCTGCCAAATGATGGCTGCGGGAGCGTGCACGTGAGGACTTTAACAACATTAACACTTTAAAACAATTATTTGCTCGACATTATAGTAAAGGTGTCTCTCAGTTAAACTTTTACTTATTGTATTTTTCGCTGAATAAGTCACTTCTTTTTTCATAATTTGCATACCCTGCGACTTCTACACCGAAACAACGTATTTATGGATTTTTCCATATTTATAAACCAATTTTTGGCTGAGATATGACCGTTTTCATTCATTCCGACTGAAAATATTGAACACTACCATTTTCAGCCGCTAGATGGCGCTCGAGTAGTAAGGCATGACGTCTCGTGTAATAAGTAAAAGTGGCTATTAATGACACAATCGGCTTGCCATAGTCTGCCGCCGTCGTCTGCCTGGAGCAACCGAATCAGCTTCATTTCGCTGCCCCGGCAAAATGCAGCTGACTTGACCTTCAAAGTGCGTTTATTAAGAAAAAGTTAGACTGAGACACACCTTTACTATAATTTCAAGCAAACAGATAATTGTTTTTAAGTGTTAATCTTGTTCAATTCTTGTTAAAGTCCTCCCGTGCACACTCCCGCGGCCGCCACTCGATTTTTGGTACAACGCCGGCCCACATTTCTGGGTGGTCAGCGATGACGCATAATAGATGAGACTTGTACGGCGAAGCAACATATTTATGGATTTTTCCACTTTATTGACATATTTGGACTGATGCGACTTAAAGGGCGGAGCGACGTGTACGGTGGAAAATACGTTAATAAATGTACTCGAATGGTCGAATCGGCTCCAGGCGAACTGGACGAAGGTGGCAGTCTATGGCAAGCCGACTGTGTCATTAATAGCCACTTTTACCTATTACATGATACAACGGCATGTCATACAACTCGAGTACCATCCAGCGGCTGAAAATCTATAAATATGGAAAAAAATCCATAAATAAGTCGCTTCGGTGTATAAGTCACAGTGTTTGTAAATTATGAAAAAAAAAAAAACTACCGAAAAATACGGTACTTAGTTTCTTGGAGGTGGACAAAGATCAAAAATTTCCAGCCAATATATCAGACATGATATTAGCCTTCGCCTCCCAATATCCTCATCTGCGACAGACAAAATTCCTAGTTTTTAGATGAACTAGATTTATAGAAGAGCCTGTAATTAAATAAATGAAGCCCATTTCTTTTCTTTGTACAGATCTAGACATAATCCTCTACCTGAGCGGTTCACGTACCGCCTGACCCACATCTTCCTGTTGCTGGAAAGGAATGTGGCACGACTTGAAAGTTAATCCAGGAAGCCGTGCACGGCAGTTCTGTTCGGCGCACGTTACACGAGTCATCCTACTCTCCGTCTGTGTCTCGCGAATCCACCCGTCGGGCGTGTGTTCGTACCGTCGGAGCAAAGCAGCACAGTTCCTCCTCGTCCTCTTCGCTCTCGCTGTCCGTGTCCTCTTGGGGCTCGCCTCCCTCTTCCAGCTCCTTCCTGACCTCTGTTAAAACACACACACACACCTTTAGCACGGCCGAGAGGGAGACGCAAAGACAAAAAACGCGTTTGCCCGAGTCCACAAAAGGACGAAGAACTCGTAATTTATTCCGCAGAGAACCGAGTAAAGCGAGCCGCTCACTCCTCTTGTCGTGCTTGCGGTGCTCAGTTTCCCCCTTCATGCTGTAGTCCAGTTTCATCAGGATCGGCTCCAGGCCCGTGTACATCCTCTGGATCAGCTCGTGATACACCACCAACGGCCAGAGCAGCACGCTCAGAGCTGAAAACAGCAGAGAGAACGGCTTCACAAACACGTTTAATACGAGCGCGACGCTGCACACGAGGGGAGTTAAAAACCTGACGCGAAGGGACGCGCGCCACACGCACGCTTTTCATGCCACGGAAATGTGAGGAATCTTAGCCGTTTTGGTCAAACCTTAACATTACGTGGTGCGAATGACTCCCAGCTACTGCCGTGTCAAATTTTAGCTCAGCATCTGTAAAACAGTGACTTTTGTGTTTCCGCAGGTCAGTTTGCTGTGGCCGCCATCTTAAATTGGGTTAGCTCAGGAAGGTCAATCATTACTTCCTGAAAGTTTCATGAAAATCCATTTAGCGGCGTTTTGAGGAAAAACATTATCGCTTGCGTCGTTTACCCGAAAAGAACTAGACTCGACAGCAGGAGATGATTTTTAACCGGTCACACAGTCACAAGAATCTGCCCCGAGCTGCGTTATCTGCTCGCTTTTATACCCTTATCAGTTCAGCAGGGTTCACAGAGCTCTCTCCGTTAACCCAACACATGGTTCATGGGCAGAGATAAGATCTTCTTGTTCTCAGCCATAGTAATAAAAACATCCATATCCTTTGACCAAAAAATTATCCGACAAGCCGTTCATGAGATATTTTGCTAACGGACCGAGTTGACTAACTCAGTGGTTCCCAGCCCTGGTCCTTGAGGGACGCCATTCTGCATGTTTGAGTTGTGTCCCTGCTCCAACACACCCGTTTCAGCCATTTTATTCCTGAAGTTCTGCCGAAGCCTGTTAAGCACCTATTCATTAAAATCAGGCGTGTCACAGCAGGGAAACAACGAAAACATGCAGGATGGCGTTCCTCAAGGATCACGGTTGGGAAACACTTTTTTTTTAAACTGATGGTAAAATTTTAAACGAAGATCTGTCCGTGCTCAGAATACGTTTAATCTCAGCTTCAAACACGTCAGATTTTAGGTCGATATTTGTAAAAATTAATAAGTTTTAGAAACTCTTGTGTTTTTTAAAAAGGTCAGTTCGCTGCAAAACTGCTAAAAGAAACCAGCTGTAGATGTACATTACAGCGTTTCCCCTAGTTCAGGTGCCTTGGCAGGGCGCTCATGTCTTGGCAGATTTTTGTTGACGGGGGGGGGATGCATGAGCAGCGTTTCCCCTACCATTATACAAGCAGGGCGCCCCACCCTGTCAACAAAACCGAGCCATATTTCTACCAAACCCCACCCATGGAGAACTACCAGAACTGACCTAGTGCTAAGCTAGTGGTGCTCAATACAAACATGCTAGCTACAGAGCTCCGTTTCCCTCACGCTTAGTCGACTCCACCAAGCAGAGCACAACACAGACGTGTCTCAGTCACCACTGCCTCCCCCAATTTGTCGGGCCAAACTGACAAATACTATGCACAATAATGTAGTATTTTAATTCCACAGCAGAGAAAGCTGTGTAGTCTCTGGAAGTCAGTCTAGGAAAATATATACATCGGTATTGGTATCGGCCAAATAAGTTTTAACGTATCGGCCAAAAATCCAATATCGTGCATCCCTAATTCAAACCGCTCACCTGCATCTTTGTAGCCAACAAGGCTCTCAGATCGCGAACGCACCAATTACCTATGACGTAAGCAAAGGACGACTCTGTAGAGAGTCACGTAGAGTCGACTCTTCACAACCAAACGAAGCCGGATAAACTCTCAACTTAGAAAAGCAGCTCCTGCTGACACTGAACAAAAGGTTCAGAAAATGAAGGGTGACAGAAATGTCAGACTTTAAGACTCTTACCCGCCTGTTGTTCGCAGTGTAAAAGTTTAAAAACTGTTCTGTGCCGGTTCAAAAACACTTCTTTTTTTTTTTAACAAACTAAATCACTGCTTCGTCTACATTTGTTTACAAAGGAAACGGCCTTAGTGTCATTTTTATACTTTGTTTGTCTGAGAAATGAGCTTTGAATGTAGCTACGTGAAATGTCTTCTATTGTACACAATAAAACGTCAGTTGGTTAAAACGTACTCCGAGTACTTTTACTTAAGTATTTTTTTTTATAAACACCAGTACTTGTTATAATTTAAGCAGTACTTGTACAGGAGTACAAATTCCCAGTACTCTTTCCACCTCTGGATAACAGTAGGGGAAACACTGCGTTGATCATTTTTTCCCTGTGATTTCATTAAAATTCATCCAGTGGTTCAGGAGATATTTCTTTAACAGACACAAACACATTATTGCTCGCAGGGAATGAAAACTTGGACTCATCTTCTAATCACATCAGAGCTATTTTTACTCCGCGCACACAGAATCTGTCACGACAACCAGGCGGCTCAGCGTCTCTGCATGCCAACTAGGTAGTAGAAAACGACTCACCTATAATGTACGATATCATGATTCCCGGCACGTAATGTCCAACCCCGGCGAGCACAAAGCAGCCGCTGCACACCATCGCGCAGAACTGTCCGACAGAAAAACGGCTTTAACGACCGAAACGTGTGCACCGTTGGTCAAAGCACGCAGGTGAGCGAGCCGTACCTTGCCGTGGTTCCTCCGTTTGTACTGCAGGGTCTCCTGCAGGTACAGGCAGCAGGTCAGGTAGCTCTCCGTCAGGTGGTGGCTGAGCTCAGGAACGCTGAGCAGACGGTGCTCCGAGCTCAGCGTTTCACTGCGGTCGGAAAACAAACAGCACTCGAGCACAAGAAAAACACAACTGGGAAAGAAATTGTGATCTGAACAGGTGAACAAATGCAAAAAGGTGATAAACTTTTTAACAAACGCTTTTATGGCAAAACTACAAACCATGATGGAAAACAGAAAATATTCTAGATTCATTTTTATGAGCCTACCTTTGTTCAGGCTGAACCTCTGCAGGTTGGACTGCAGGAGGGAAAGAAATCACAATTTCACATCAAAATGTGAGTTCAGAGGAAATTTAAAACTTTTTTTTTAAAGCTTATCAGATAAAGTTACACAGAGGATCTAACAAACTAAAGTCAGGTTCTCTGGACGGATTCTTCTTGTTGAAATGTTTCGTCTTTCAGCCAAAAGACTTCTTCAGTCTGAGGAGCTGCAACAAACTCAGTCTTATAAACAGCACCTTCTCAGTGGATCAACCAGTTTGTTGTGACATCCAGAACCAGCTGCTCACATGATCAAGGAGGACCATCAGCCTAACAATGGATCATTAGCACCCTGATGGCTGTTTACTATTCACAGGGGGCTGAGTGATGCTAGCAATAACAGCATTGTAAGAGGGGGACAGTTGGACATGGAGGCTCCGCCCCTTTTTAATGATGGACAGTTTCTCTTCACAAAGATGGCTTCCTTCCCTCTCTCACACCATTGTTCCTCTGGCCTGCAGATGAGTGTAGACCAGAGTCCTGGCCTGATGATGTTGCTCTTCTGTGCTGGTCCATCCTTTTGGCCAGTGGCTGTTTAGTTTCCCCTGTGCAAGCCTGATCACCATCCTGACACTGAACAGCATACACATTACTCCGTTTGTGCCGGGGGACTGGATCTTTGGGATGGATCAGTCTTCGCCGTATGGTTGTTCAACCTGTGCTGTACCTCTGATGACGTCATTCCTAATCTTCTCCATCCTTGTCACTCCTAAGAACCTCAACATCTTCATTTCTGACACGTCCAGTTCTGTCTTCTGTCTTTTTGTCCATGTGTCTCTATACAAGGCGTGGCCAATTTCGATGACAAACGAAACTGTCCAGATGACGAGATTGAACTTTTTTGTTGTCGTTATCTACCTTTCGTTCAACCTTTATTTAGACAAGTTAATCCCATTGAGCCTCGGAGACTCATTTACAAGAGAGACCTGATGTCAACAAAGAATGATGACAACGACCGGATGATTGAGTTTACAACCTTTTTTTTCTGAACCATCTTGGTCCCGTGTCCTCAGGCTGTTTCTGTGAGTAGCAAGTTGGCCACCAGGCCTGAAACATTTGATTGTTATGCCGATGATCGACTGTTTTCAACGAATGGTCCTGTTTTTGCATATGTAAAACCAGTTTCTGGGAATTCCACAGAGGGCTGGCTTGAAACTGAAGGAGGTGCAGCTGGGTGGCAGGCCTCAAAATGATGGAAGTCTTTCAGACGAAACTTTTCTCCCAAAAAGAAACCGTCCAGATGACACGATTTAACTCTCTCTGTGAAAATCCAGGGTCCAAAGAGACGTTTGCGTGTTCACCAGTTCGGATGCAACTGTGATCATGCAGATGCTCAATGTATGCAGCTGAGCCCAGGGTTGCCAGAAATTTAATAAAATAATATCTTATCTACCCCCTCCTTTTCTGTGAACATGTTCAACAAACAACACACCTCTTCTTGTGATATCTTTACTCAACACATATGACAGTTTAGGTCAAAATGCTATCATTTTAAAGCCACAGTACTATAGTTCATTATTTCTTATCTGGCAACCCGACTGACATGAAAACTACAGCGTTTTTGTGTAAATCTGCTCAAAGCAATTTAATTTTAAACTAGAAAAAAACAAAATGCGACTCACGTGGAAGAAGTTACAGCAACTTAAATAAAGAAAATATACTTAAAAACTCAAAATTCTTTACAAATCTTTAAAGTGCTGCCACCGTTAAAACCCGTCCTTCACACCACATATGTAACTGGGCCCAGTGCTCCCAGTGGAAGGCCTGGACTCACCAGTGATGATGGGCAACTTGGGCTTCCATCTCTCCAGCAGCATCAACCCCAGCAGGGACACACTCAGCAGGAACAGGGGCCGCAGAGAGGTGGAGGACACCAGCCTGGAGACAAACAGACATGTTAGCTTAGCCGCTTTGCTAGCTGCTCAGCATGTCTTGAGACTAGGCCCGGTCACTCAGGACATTAAGGGCGTTTTTATACGTTATTAACAGGTGTAACAACTTAAATTAACTGTTACCAAACAATGTATTTACCAGAAAACAAAGCGCAGTAATCCCGTGCTAACTGGCTTTTAGCTACAAGCTAGGTTAGCATTAGGCTAAAGACTCGGGATTAGCTAACCGATATTGACATTTCTTCTTAACGTCCCCTGACTCCGGGCAGCGAAGTAAAGACGAGCTTTAAAGATTTAACACAAACTCTCCTGTTACCAGAACAGCGTGTTGAGCGTGAGGGCGGCGGAGACGCTGTACAGCGGCCTCTCCCACACCAGCAGCCGCTGCACCCACAGCAACAAGGGCTCGTACTGGGACAACCAAGCCTGGAGACGCTCCTGCAGGCGGTCGAGCTCCGGGTTCCCGTACCGGCACTTCTCCTCCGAGGTCTCGGCGGGAAACAGATCCTCCAGCCCGACTGAGGAGGAGGTAACCGAGGGGCGTCCGCTGGCCTCTTCCCCGCTCGCCATGTTGCCCCAACTTATGTTGTTTTGGAGATCACGGAGTATTTAGAAAGATCGTCGAAGAAGACGTACTAACGTGACGTCAAGCTTCCGGTTAACGTTTCACAATAAAACCGACTATGTCGCGTCTGATTTTGAAAGCACTAATTTATTTGATGGGTTTGACTTTTAAAACACGCTTTGCTACATTTAAAATAGTAATAAATACATTAGTTAATAAAAATATATATATTTTTAATTAATACTTGTACTTTTAAGGCAAAATATTACTAAATGGTCAGAAAAAAAGTCATCAAATTCATTTATTCATTCGTTTAAAATAAAACAATTTCATCAAAAAGAAACAAAAAACATTGAATACAAAGGGTGCAGAAAGAAGAAAAAAATTCTTATAATATCTGCCCCTATAAAATAACTGCAATAGAACAACAAACTTCACGTGAACAATCTCCAAACTGAAAACAAAAAACCATCAGGTATCCTTCACCTGGCACCACACCTTCCCAACTTTAACTTAATCGTCTTTTTTAAACATATAAGTTGTTTTAGAAATGTTTATGGCGAGATCATACGCAGCGCTCCTTCAGACTGGTTCTAAATGATGGTTTTACAAACATTTCCATTCATTTAAGGTTATAGTGACTCTCTTTTGTAATACATTTTAACTGAATATTTGGGGGTACTTTTTTATAAGCTTTATACATGACTTGTAAACTATTACCAAATCATAAAATTTTAATAAATTCAACTGATGAAATAATATATTTGTTGGGTGACCACAGCACTGCCTACTAATAATTCTTATAGCTCTGTTTTTGTCAAATAAAAATAGGATTTGTAATAGATACGAGTCACCGTCTGAAAGCTGGTTTTATTTTTGAAGGGAGTATGAATATCCGCTTTAACGTCGTCCAACTTGACGTAAAGATGGCGGCCGTAAAGGAGCAGCAGGATGAAGCAGTCACGTGCTTCCTTGTTTACTGTGCAGGGCGGGGAAACCACCACGCGGTTAGTGCTCTTAGAACTTGATGCCACTGACATAAAATATATTCTGTATTTATTCTGGAGGTTTATTAAATGAAACACTTCAACAGTTTTTTTTAAACTTTATTTAAAAAAAATACATGTTGAGTTAACACCCTGAGCCAGTGTGGGCTTAATTTGTGCAGGACAGGAAAATCAACTCTCCTAATTTGAAAAACAATGAACTTCTCCCCCACTTGTCATTTATTTGTGTAACTTCAAAAAAAAAAAAATGAAATCCAAATAGAAATCACTTGAAAACTTACAAAATGAGGTCAGGGATCTGTAAACAGAGAAGCACAATTAAATAAAGCATTAATTGGTTTTATACTTCAGGTACAGAGTGATAAGGAATTGCAGGAATTAGTCCTACTCGTCTTTAGGCGCTGCCAAGACTTAGTCCTGTAATGGGAGCGAAGCAGAAAAAGGGGAACCGTCACCATCTGCTGCTAGGACACAAGGGCGTCGATACCTGCTGGGGTTAAGACCAAAGCCTGCAGCAGGTCCGACAGCGAGATGATACCCTTTACCACGCCAGCCCTGTTCACCAGAACCAGCCGATGGACCTGGATGGCAAAAGAAAACGAGTGATCTCTTTTAAATTTGACCTCTTGTGTAAATAAATTTAAAACACCAACACCAAAAAAACACCAACCTCGGCTTTGACTATCCGTTCTAAAATCACGTCTAACGTTTCGTCAGGGTAGCAGGTGATCACACCTTCAACGTAACATGTGCGCGTCCGAATGGCTTCTTGCATCGTCATGTCCAGATTGTTGTAGGTTTTCTGGGCTGCCAGATTCTGACAGGGAACAAACACAATTTCTACAAAGTCAGCAAACAACACTGGAGCGTGGAAGGATAATGACTGTCTTGTTGATGTGACTGCGTGCTGGTAGAGGAGACAGTTTTAGTTCTTCAGGACTTAGACACCACCTTTTAATCAGAATAAGCTTTATTATCATTGTACCGAAATACAGTGAGATTATGTTCGTACGGTCGTCCAAAAGATGGGTGAAGTGCGCGTTGCTGCTGCTCCTGAGAGCACGGCTCCTTATCCTTTTTTCAGAATACATTTTAGATAGAAAAGGGGAAAAGGCCATGAGGATAAGATAGTGGTATTATAAAAAAGATCTCTTCACATCTTGTCCTTATCAGGACTTAAGACATCAAAAAACTACCAGCAAGCACATTTATACACACATTACATATGCATTTGACGACAAGACAGTAAGATTTGTCCATGAAGCACTTCTAGATAGTCCATAGTCCTAACAAGATGTTGGTGTCAGCCGCTACAGCTCTGATAAGCCTTCACAGAAGTTATCGTTCGAGGTCAAACGGCAGATTCAGATAAGCCACAATTGATTTTTTCAGGCAGACTGTTTTTTTTTCTTGTCAACCTTGAGTCCTGTTGGTACTTTCTATCCAAAATGGCCAAATTTGTAGGCATTGCACTGGTCCGTGCTTATGAACCCCTTCCAAGGTCGTCTCCAACATGCTGGCGAGTACCAGAAGCCGCAGGTGGCCTGTGATTCTCACAAATCGCTTCCATCTTAAGGTTTAGCTCATAAATCAGCTGATTTTGAGTACTAGAAGCACGAACCAAACCTTCACACGGACTCGGCAATTTTGCCGTGGCTGAAACTGCTGCCGCCGTCTTCTTCAATAGCCGATAAAATAGGAATCTGCTGATGCCAAAAAGCAGAAACCCTGCTATCATGGTTCCAATTATATAAACATCTTCGGTGTCCTCCTGAGAAAACGGAAAGGCACATCAGCTCCCAAACTCCCCACGGATCCATGACGTATCCTGCTGCATGCGTCTCAGCGGGGCATGAGGGCTCTCCAGGACCCCGTCGCTTTGTTGAAAAGATTTTATTGATTGCGTTGACAGTCCAGTTGACCAGATCCATGACAGTAGTTTTCGTTTCGGAAGATGTGTAAATAGGAGCTCCAATACACAGACAGAGAGCAAAAAGGCAGGAAGAGGACGGAAGAGCGAATAAAAGGCATCCGCCTTGCACGAGAGCGAGTGAGGAAAAAAACGCCAACTGAATTTACTTTTACTCTACTAATTTACTCTAATTTACTCTACTGAATGTTATATTTAGCCCTAACTGTTACAATGATGGATAGAACTTTATAAAATAGTTAACAAGGCTCTTTGTGAGCAATGGTTGCACGCCTAAACCAGCAATAGTTGGGGTCCCAAGTCATGCTGATTTTAATTTTGTTGGTCAAAAACTAAAATAAATTGCAAACCACTGAGTCATGTGTCGGTATTAAGGACTCAGTCTTAATATTTCTATGCTCGTACTTGATATAGAATCTTTTCTATCACTTTTAATGTTCTCCATGGTTGATTTGAATTGTGGTGTAACTCAGGGATGAGTCCTCAGTCCCCTTTTATTTTCCTGTCTGACATTAATCCTGGATAGCCCAGAAAAGGTTTGAATCTTATGACTCTAAAAGAGCATGGGTAATTTTATAATTGTATTTGTAAATAGTATAAAAGTGTACTCACAATAACATCAAATCTTGAGTACAGTGCCACCACTTTGCCTGAGGGGGAAAAAAAAAAAACATTGGATGATAAAAAAATCAGCTTTGCTGATAAAAAAAAAAAAAAAGAAACAAGAATACCTTGTTCATCCACCACTGGAAGAGCTGACACCCGCCTCTCCACAAATATAGAGAGAGCATCATAAAGTGATGCCGTCTGCTGGATTGTGGCGATGTTCCTGAATGTTCCTATTCCCAGCTCCTGGATCTGCTTCTGGATATATGCCGGCTTGGGAACCTTTGTCCCCTAGAAAATATCCAAACGCTACACATTAGCTGAATATCATATATGCTGTGTAGTGTTCACATTCAACAAGTTAAAACCAGCTCACAAAAATATGGAGGAACTTGAGGATTCTTTTGTGGGTCAGAATGTGCAGGACATTTCCAGACTCTGGATCGATGACAGGCAGTCGGTGGATTCTATGTCTAAGTAAAGAATAGATGGCATCGAAGAGGCTACGGTAGGAAGAGAACAGATACCAGAGCAATTTAATAATTTTAGGGGAAAACTGAGCTCACAAACAGTACGTTAATTCTTCCACTCACCTGGCCTCTGGGGAAATACTGATGAGATACTGACTAGGATTACGTAAGTACACATCTAGACAGAAGATAAAGATCTCACACAAAAATGGTTTGGATTTGTGCACAGAGTTGGTGTCATTTGTGCATATTATTTACTTTGAAATGAATCACCTCTCCATGTTTCGATCTTGTGGCTCTCCAGGCCGTATATTCGGACCTTTTGTGGGTAAAACACAAAATTCAAAAACTGGTAAAGTAAAATCAAGTTCATGAGACACATCTCTGTTCCTGTGGTCTAGCAGAATAAGCAACAGTGTGAAAGTTTTCCATATAAGCTTAAGTACATTTTTAAGGACATGTTCATATTTTCTCATATTAAGAATTGCCTACGCCCGTTGACAAACTACTAGACAGCAATACAGCAACCTATAGCAATGACCTCCTGGTCTAATTGACTTAAGCACTTTGGGAATAGATGCTGTTTTAACTGTGTTTTATAAATAAAGTTGACTTGACTTGGACCTTGATTTGAGTCCTTGACTTTAGAGCTGGGGTGATGAAAAGGCATGTGACACCCTGTCTGGTGGTGGTACAAACGTGTTAAAAGTTTTGTTAACTTATTTTGAGCGGTTCAGAAGTTATGATCTGGACAAGAGAAATTTTACAGACGAATGAAGACTACACCATAATATGTCCATCTTTCATTGAGCGTATAATAATAAAAAATGATGGTAAAAAACGTTAAACTGTCCCATAAATAACCACAAAAAGAGATCAAATAAGCAGCACTAAGACCAAACCGATCAAAAAACCATGAAGTGAAAGAAAATGACCAGAAATGGGTTAAAAATACCAAAAGTAACGAGTCAAATAATTACAATAAACAGCAAGTTAACATGTATGAAGTAAAAAAAAAAAAAAGCATCAGAGTGAGACTAACCAAACCCAATATAGCCAACAGGATCATGTACAATGTGCTTTTGTAAAACTAGAAAATGAAGCTTCATCCATCCATCCATTATCTTCCACTTATTCTGAAGTAAGGTCGCGGGGGCAGCAGCTTGAGCAGGGAGGTCCAGACATAGCATGGCCACCTCTTCCAGCTCTTCTGGGAGGACTCCAAGGCGTTCACAGGCCAACCGATACATAGTCTCTCCAGCGTGTCCTGGGTCTTCTCCGGGGTCTCCTCCCAGTAGGACATGCCCGAAGCACCTCACTAGGGAGGCGCCATGGGAGCATTACCAGATGCCAGAACCACCTCAACTGGCTCCTCTCGATGTGGAGGAGTAGCGGTTCTACTCTGAGTCTCTCCCGGATAAATGAACTTCTCATCCTATCTCTAGGGTGAGACAGGGTTATATCACGCAATGTAAACTTTTCTGCATTCATGCTCACCATTGGCGACTTGTAATAGCAGTGGAGGATGTTGATAAAATCTGTAATTGTCAGCATACCTGGGACAAAAAGTGGTTTAAATCTCCGTTCTTTTAGGACAACAAGAGCGTAAATTCATACCTGTGATGTACGTCTTACCCACAAACCTCTGCAGCTTGTTGTCCCAAAGAGGTGCAGCCCTCAGGCCGTTGGCCACCAGAGCAAAAAAGGCCTTTTTCACCTTCAGAGGCACAGAGGAAGGTAACATTTGTGAATTGAATGTGCAAACGGCTGGTTATTTACATCTCATCCCATCCTTTTCAGATATACTTTGAGGAGCTTTTGGTCAGTATCACCATTCAAGGTCTACGGTACGTCCTTACTTGTAGCGTGGTATCAAATATGACCAGTTTACAGCTGATAGGAATGGCGTCGTAGCAGCTGTGACTTTTCATAAAATTCATGTAGACCGTGGCATCAGCCTCTGTAGGAGAAATCCCAGCAGCCGGTCAACTGACGATGTTTGCATGCACTCATGATGATGGGCGTTAGTGTCGAACAAAAGTTGGGTTTAAAATGACATTTGAGCCACTCAATTTCCAGGGTGGGCTGATTATACAACATTCAAAGTTAATGGTTTTTAAAAGCAAGAAATACATGGACAAGACTGGATTAATAGTGAAGAAGCGGTACAATGATGTCCCCCATCACTGAGGGGTTTGAGTAATTGGTTTGTAGCTTTTGATCACCAGGAGCAATGGCAAAGTGGTACCGTTGGTGACTGGCCACTATAGATTAATCTTCGGCCACCCCAATCATTTACTTTCAAGCAATATAAAAACTAGAAAGGATCAGGGTGGGCCGTTTTTAATAGTGACCTTTCTTACGCCTAGATGCAGCCACACACCAAAATGGAAGTTGGTACCTCACTTATTTTTCATGCTATCATGCCCACATGGACAGACGCGATCTCCTACTCCACCATTTTGGTCTGTGACGAGACTATTAGCAGGCTCAAACATCCATATTTGGTTGACAGCTCTTAGCAAGTTGCACCTTGACCGCATGGCTTGTAGCAACCATTAACAAGCGCCTGGCATAGTTCTGGTTGGATATTTGACCTCTTTCCGTCAGAATTGGCAAAGTTCGTTTGAACTGTTTGGCTTGCTGACATGAAGCAGCAAGTTTACAGCTAGTTTGTACTCAGGACTTAAGGAAGACCACTTCACAAACCCAACGTTGGACTTTAACCAACCCGATATCAGTTCTGATGTGTTCAGGGTCATTGGTCTACACGTATTGGAACAACAAACTATGTCCATGTTTCAAACATCTAGCCATTGGTTTGAGGTCAAGTGGAAGAATTTTCTCATTTCACTCACTTTGTGCCTTGCACTAGCATGATGCTACAATATGAAGGCCTTGCTTCTGGAGCTGAACCTTCCCAGTCCATGGACACACAAAACTTGCATCCCAGTGGACGGGGACGCTGGTGTTTCAGCAGATTCCAGTTCCCGGAAGGCTCGAGCCAGGCCATCCATCCATGCATTATCTTTCACTTGCTCTGAAGTCTCGGGGGCAGCAGCTTGAGCAGAGAGTCCAGCCACCTCTTCTGGGAGGACCCCAAGGTGTTCCCAGGCCAACCAAGAGACATAAGTCTCGCCAGTGTATCCTGGATCTTCCCCAGGGTCTCCTCCCAGTCAGACATGCCTGAATCTCCTCTCTATAGGGAGGTGATTCAATAGGGTGGCGTCCAGGAAGCATCATTACCAGATGTCCCAACCACAACTGGCTCCTCTAGATGTGGAGGAGCAGCGGTTCTACAGAGTCTCTCCCTGATAACTGAACTTCTCAACCAGTCTCTAGTCCAGCTACGATGCAGAAGAAACATTTCAACCGCCTGTATCCACAATCTCATTCTTTCAGTCACTACCCAGAGTTCGTGACCATAGGCGAGGGTAGGAATGTAGACCAACCGGTAAACAGCTTCGCCCTACAGCGCAGCTTCCCCACAGAGTCCACAATCCTGCAGACACGGCACCAATCCATCTGTCAATCTCTCTCTCCATCCCCCCCCCCCACTTGTGAACAAAACCTCAAGATACTTGAACTCCTCCACTTGAGGCAGAACCTCACCCTCTACCTGGAGAACAATACACCAATTTCCGACTGAGGACCATGACCTTAAATTTGGAGCCTGGGTGATTCCTGGTATTCCTTAACATACCCATCTTTCCGAGAGTCACTGAGGAGTATCGATTAGTCTGAGTGCTGCCAAATAACCTACCAGCTGCAGTCGATCATGATCACCACCGAGAAGATTTCTTACAAGGTTTACAGAAAACCCACCTTCAATTCAAGCTTTTTAGAACTTCAGACGGATGTATAATCAGTCCACCTGGAAAACGGCTGACCATAAAAAGCAAATACTTTGAAGGAAAGGCTCCAATTGTTCATGAACGTACCTCTCTGTTGCGTCCGCAGTTTGTTGTGGGAACACGTCACCTGGAAATAAAACGTTGCCCCGTTCACATTTTCACAACGGACCAAAATACGTCTCAGATCAAACCGTGCCTAAAGGAAGTCGTCTCCTCCCTCCTGGAGGTTTCATTTCACCTGTGAGACACGTGGCTCCATCGACTCGTGCAAACGTTCAAGAGTCGGCCTCGGAGCGAAGAGGATCGTCGGGTTTCGTCGCCCAGTTCTACGAAGCAGTCGGGTCTATATTAGGATCTCTCCGAGCGGTATGTCAAACTGGTGGGGGGGGGGGGGGCGCTGGTCTTCTGCCAAAACCTTCTGCTCTTTGAAACGCCAGCAGTCGTTTAAAGAAACTTTCAGGCAGCAGATCAACGGAACAAAGTTCATCTTTTTTTTACATCAGCGGACAAATTCTGCTCTAAAGACACAAAGTTTCTATAAATTACAAACAAAGTCTTTAAAGAAAAGCATTTATTTATTTTCCTACACGTTTTACACCACGTACAAAATTAAAGTTCTTTGTGCTTTAAAGTGTATCAAATTCAAATACTTGGGAGTCATTAGCTTTGATGTGTAATGTAAAAAATATATACGACACCCCCCCCCTCCCCCCGGTGTTTGCATAAATGGCGACAAAGAAACGAGAGAAGTGGCGTATTGTGATGAAAAAGCATCAGTGCGCAAATTTCAGATGAACAAAAAAAAAAAAAAAACGCAGCTTACGAACAGCTTGAAATGCATCATGCAGGAAAAGTATTTTAAGAATGTAACATTTTGTCACCAAACATCGTAAAGCTCTCGATTTATGTTTAACCTTCATTCAACCAGCTTTTATGTTTAAAACTTAAATCCAACACTAAAGATGTAAACCAGACACTTCGATAAGTTTAATCGTTTCGCTGACGCTAAATAAAACGTGTAATCTCTGCATATTAAAGTCACGTGGAGTGAAAATAAAACGTATTAATCTCTGCTTTTGCACCACAGAACTCCACCTTCTCTGCACCGTCACGTCTGGAGAAGCCACAGAAGACCCGAGGACGATATGTGCCATGGAAGCAAAAAAAAAAAAAAAAGTGATGTTCCTAGCCAGGCATGATCAGAGCTTGGTATTTGTTGACAGGAAGCAGGAACTCTGGACGGCAACGGTGCAGGTTTGGAGGCGGGAACAGCCCGAAGGAAGTGTCCAGACTCGGCTCTGCCGCCGCGAGAGGGTTGGAGGGCAGCGGCAGGCGGTTGTTGAAGGGACCGTAACCAGGAAGTGACGAGGCGTTCTGAATCCGACACTGAAAACGAGAACGGGTCGCAACACAGCCAGGGCGGACGGCGGCGGACGCAGAGCGGGACTGAGGAGTTCCCACGTCAGGATGTACGCGAATCACCGAAGCAAGAAGGGAAGACGGAACAGACGTGTGCGCAGACACTGACGGGGAACTCTGTCCAGGTTCCAGAGAGCCGGCCTGACCGCTCAGACTCTCATTGGCCAGAAGACAGCAGGCTGCAGCGGGGGCTTCTGGACCCGATGTGTGGATGGGAGGGGAACTGGTCTCGTGCGAGGGAAGGAGAAGGGACTGGCTGCTCCTGGAGAGACTGAGCTGGTGCAGCACAGCACTGGTGGCGATGAGGCCGGCTACGCTCGTTAGATAAACCAGGCCGAGCAGACAGGAAACCTGAGACGAAACAAAGAGTTTCATTATTTGTTAATTACTTTGGTCTTTACTGTACAGGTGCTGGTCATAAAGTTAGAATATCATGAAAAAGTTGATTTATATCAGTAATTCCATTCAAAAAGTGAAACTTGTATATTATATTCATTCATTACACACAGACTATTTCAAATGTTTATTTCTTTTAATGTTGATGATTATAACTGACAACTAATGAAAACCCCAAATTCAGTATCTCAGAAAATTAGAATATTACTGAAGACCAATTAAAAAAAAAGATTTTTAGAAATGTTGAACAACTGAAAAGTATGAGCATGTGCAGCACTCAGTACTTAGTTGTTGCTCGTTTTGCGGCGTGGCATGGAGTCCATCAGTCTGTGTCACTGCTCAGGTGTTCTGATAGTGGCCTTCAGCTCTTCTGAATTGTTGGGTCTCGTGTATCACATCTTCCTCTTCACAATACTTCATAGATTTTCTATGGGGTTAAGGTCAGGTGAGTTTGCTGACCAATTAAGAACAAGGATACCATGGTCCTTAAACCAGGTACTGGTAGCTTTGGCACTGTGTGCAGGTGACAAGTCCTGCTGGAAAATGAAATCTGAATCTCCATAAAGTTGGTCAGCAGCAGGAAGCATGAAGTCTCTAAAACTTCCTGGTAGACGGCTGCATTGACCTTGGACTTCAGAAAACACAGTGGACCAACACCAGCAGATGACATGGCACCCCCAAACCATCACTGACTGTGGAAACTTGACACTGGACCTCAAGCAACGTGGACTCTGTGCTTCTCCTCTCTTCCTCCAGACTCTGGGACCTTGATTTCCAAAAGAAATGCAAAATGTACTTTCATCAGAGAACATAACTTTGGACCACTCAGCAGCAGTTCCAGGTGAGACGCTTCTGACGCTGTCTCTTGTTCAAGAGTGACACAAGGAATGCGACAGCTGAAATCCATGTCTTGCATACGTCTGTGCGTGGTGGTTCTTGAAGTACCGACTCCAGCTGCAGTCCACTCTTTGTTAATCTCCCCCACATTTTGGAATGGGTTTTGTTTCACCATCCTCTCCAGGGTGCAGTTATCCCTGTTGTATGTATACATTTTTTTCTACCACATCGTTTCCTTCCCATCACCTCTCTGTTAATGTGCTTGGACACAGAGCTCTATGAACAGCCAGCCTCTTTAGCAATGACATTTTGTGTCTTGTCCTCCTTGTGCAAGGTGTCAATGGTCGTCTTGTGGACAACTGTCAAGTCAGCAGTCTTCCTCATGATTGTGTAGCTACAGAACTAGACTGAGACCATTTAAAGGCCTTTGCAGGTGTTTTGAGTTAATTAGCTGATTAGAGTGTGGCACCAGGTGTCTTCAGTATTGAACCTTTTCACAATATTCTAATTTTCTGAGATACTGAATTTGAGGTTTTCATTAGTTGTCAGTTATAATCATCAACATTAAAATAAATAAACATTTAAAATATATCAGTCTGTGTGTAATGAATTAATATAATATAGAAGTTTCACTTTTTGAATGGAATTACTGAAATAAATCAACTTTTTCATGATATTCTAATTTTATGACCAGCACCTGTAGATTGTCTGGTTTTAATTGACCTGAAACATGAAAACAGCCACGAAAAGTTGCATTCCTGCATCTGAGAGGAGATTTACTGTGCACGTACATGCACAGTTCCTGTTTGCTTACCTTTGTAAAGTGCTGATAGACAGCGGTCAGGGCGTGACTCCATGCGGACTGCTCCAGCAGCACACACAGGTCGGTGTACGTGAACCACCCTCGTTTCATCCCCTGACGTTCCGCGATGCTAAAAAACACAAAACAAGCCAGAATCAGAAATATCCCCCAGATATTTGATGTTTAACAAACTTCTACGAGTTTTAAATACTCTTTAAAAACACACACCTGGTTTCCAGCTGGCTCAGCGTGTCGAAGAAGTCTTTCGGCTCCGTGAAGAGGCTCCACTCCTTGAAATGACGCAACACGAGGGTCGTGAGCAACAACCAAAACCGATTAACACAAGCGCACACGGAGTGCCACTTACAAGGGCGTTCAAGAAATTCATCTCCAGGTTGTTGACGGTTTGCACGTCCAGTTTCCCGGCTGCTCCCCACTCGTCGTTGAAAACCTCTTCCTCCTCGCCTTCGTCGTACAGATACTTGCTGGCAACCATCTGAACAAGATGTAGTTACTCGGTTAACCCCCAGAAATACGTCGCGCTGATCAAGAAACGTTTTAGCGGCTCGGTTCACCATTGAGATCAGGAAAAGGTCAGACGAGGAGATCTTCTGCAGGTATTCTGGGTTTCTGTGTCGGAGCCGTTCTATGTAGACCAAAGCCAGCATCATGGCGCACGGAGAGATGCAAGCCTCCCTGAACCAGAAACAACAAAGGCTTTAAGTACAAGAGTGAGAGCTCGGCATCCGGATGTCATTCGGGTTCACAGACGCTGGAAGACGGGACAAACCTTGCAACGCGAGCAGCATACTTCTTCTGGAGTTTCCGTATCGGGCTTGGGGCGGACTTCTGGAGGATTTCCACAGCGATATCTGAAATCCCAGCAAGCACAAAAGTCAACATGTAAGCTCAAGGATGCTCAGAATGTGCCAGAACCTCTTACACACTAATAAAAAAACTTAAATGAGCTGGAATTCTGCTAAAAACGACTTATAACCAGACAAACACCTAAATGACCTTAAGTTGACTTAAGCCAGGGGATTAACTGACCTGTAACAGGGCAGGAAAGGCCATCTAAAGAGACGTCTGGGTCCAGGCCGTAATAAAGTCTTTTCCTCACTCGTTCAGTCAGTTTTTGGTGTCCAGGAAGAAGCTGCAACATTCAGCTAACAGTCAGTGGTGAGATACAGTACTTGAGTAAATTGTTCATGTATCTGTGCTTTGCTTAAGTGGAGTTAAACGTGGGCACTTCTTTTATTCCACTACATTTTACATCATCTGTACTTTCTACTACATTTCTATAATGCGTTGCATTTTGTTTATTTGTTCGTTAGTTTTTAAGTAACCAATGGTGAGAGGGAAGCTGGTCCACTGAATCACTGCGAAGTGAGCGGGTAACGTTAGACCTGCCTTCAGCTCAGCAGGACGAAAAGAGACGGACTGGACTCGGAAAACAAACTTCTCCTGAACTTGAACAAGAAATTCTTGCTGCGATGTTAAAACGTATCGGTTCATGGGATGTTGGGAGACGAGAGATGTCTCCAAATGGCTCGACGCTCGGGTCCAAGTTTTGAAAATAGTGTCAGGAAGTTAAAATATTGTTCAATATTGACCCATTACAAGGTTTAGACAGTATTTTAACTAGAGTTGACGACAAACTGGGGCTGAAATGATCAGACATTCCTTTTACTTAGTGTTTACTGCAGTTAAAATGACACATTGCTTTGTGTTAAATAAAAACTTCCAAAGCTTATAATCATTCCTCTTTCTTATTTTAATAACATTTAACTCATCCCTGAAATTCTGACGCACAGAATCACAAGTCCAAGTGTGAACTGTGTCACAATAAAAACATGTACTATCTGCAGCATTGCTCATTAAAATAACATACTTTAAGTATTTTTAAAAGCAAGTACTTACTTGCACTTAAGTAAAAACGTTAATGTGGCACTTCTACTTTTACTAGAGCACATTTTTGTCTGTTTATTCGTACTTTTACTTAAGTACAGTCAGTGTTTTGAGTACTTGTTCCACCACTGACATTAGTTTTTAAAGCAAATACTAGCTAAGCTGAGCTAAAAACATCTCGACCAAAGCTAATGAACACAGTTCAACAAAACAAAACGTTCAGGACTTTTCCTTCAACTTTGCAACCTCAGAGCAGGAAAACCACTCGCTTCATGTTTTTTTATATTAGCTAACGCTAGTTAGCTCAGACAGCTAGCCGACATCATAAGAACTACACCCATCTTACAAAACGCAGCAATATTTCACATTCACGGCTAAGTTTAGTGTTAAAATTTAAAAATGACAAAAGTTCCGTTCAACACGGTCTAAAACATTCCTGTACTTTGTTTCTCTACCGCATCCGGAACTGGTTTTCAGCTAGCTAATTAGCTTAGCATTGGCTAACGCAGTTTGTTGACCTAGCTTGGCTTTAGCGCGCCAACGTACCGTGAACTCCTGGAAGTCCGAAAACGGAAACGTATTTTCGTTAAATAAAGCTTGGAAATCCATATTTAATGTAGATTTAACATCGGTCCGCAAGAAAAGTGTGTGAGAAGTCCACCTGACCCGACGCCCCTGCCTCTGCTCGGCTTGTCGCGGCACACCCTGACCGGTGTTGTACTAAAAAATGTACCCCACACTGTGAAGCGCACCCGTCTCGAAGGAACCACTTTTATTTTTATTAATAAAAAATATATATATTTGATTATGATATACACAATATGCGGACGACTCCGCTTTACTGCCAGGTTATATGTTGACGCTACAAAAATTATATCAAAAACATGATGGGTGCAACAATTAAAACATTCCGACATAAAAACGCATTACAAATTAATTTATTCTAAAAAAAATAGTTCTCGTAAGAGTAATGAAAAACACGTCCGTCAGTCATGTCACACACCGACACCATTAATGAAATTAACTCCCTTTTGGACAGCTTCCTGCGACAGGAACGGCGGGTAACATTTCCAGCACAACACCTGGTAGTCCGTGACGTCAGCGTCTCTCGCTTCCTTATTCGGACATAACCACACTGAGCCAGCAGGGGGCGATGTGGGCTGCAATTCTATTTATAGAATATTCCATTTATAACTACATGAAAAATAGTTACATATATTTTCAGATACACAAGTTGTCAATTAAAGCCTTTATACAACTTAAATAACTTTTTATGTTCCAGTTCTTGATAATTCATATCGTTTGTAAGATTACAATTATCAGACAAAATTACATTCCCATATATACCTTAGTGATTGAAATTATACACAACTAATAATAATTTTTAAAAAATCCACAAAAACAATAAAACAAAGATCTTAACTGCTCTGGCTCATTTGTATTCATACAATAATCAGTAAGAATTTAATAATTAGCTTTTCAGTGCAACAAAACATGACAGAGGCTGATTTTTAGGTTATTTAAAGCTGCACAATGAAACGATTGTTCCGTTCTGACACATATTTACACACAGACAATATGAAGTAAATGCTAAATAATAATAATAATTAAAAAAATCCAAATGAGACCAAAATTTCTTCTCCAAGTTAGAGTACAAAACACCTACAAAAAAAAAAAACACAATATTTTTGTCCATGTTCGAGTGTTCATTTCTCTGCCTGTTAGCAAAATATTCTCAGCGGACGGATTTCGATGAAACTCATTCATCGGATGCATCTTCGCTGTTGGCGTGAGCACAGTTCAAGATGGCCTCCATAGCTAATCAGCCGTAGCAAAGACAAAACGGTCTCGTCTTTTCTCTTTGATCTTTGCGCTAAAGTAACAAAAATGTAACTAGAATCAGAATTCAGACAGGAAGTGGGTGTTTTGATCACTTCAGTTACAACCTCCTCCGTTTAAAGGCGCCGCACATCAACTCAAAAACTAAAATAATAAATAACGCTCTCACCTTCCTAAGTGTTCGCTTACTTGTAAATAGTGTTTTGAAAAAGAGAGTAAAAAAGACCCCGCCCCCACCAACAGTAAACACAATCAGTGATGGTGGTGGGCTGAAGAGGCGGACGGCGGTTGTAGTTTCTCAGATTTGCGATCTTTGGAGTCCGAGTCGGACGAGGAGTCGGAGTCTTGGTGCTGCAGCTGCTTCATCCACATCTCTGCGTACAGGCCTCTTTTGAGGAGCAGCTCCTCGTGCCTGCAACGAGGGAGACGGTTCTGGTTTTACTCGACGCTTCGCGGAAGACGCGCCACACTCGGAACGGAGCTTACCGTCCTCGTTCGGCGACCCGCCCGTCTCTGATGACCAGAATCTGGTCGGCGCCGATGATCGTCGACAGCCTGCGACGAGAACGAGACGGCTCCGTCAGTAAAGAGCGAGACTTCAAGGTTAGGAGGCGGCGAGAGGTTTTACCTGTGAGCGACCACGACCGTCGTACGGTTGGTGCAGATTTTAGCCAGCGAGGCCTGGATGTTGCGCTCCGTCTGTGTGTCCAGAGCCGACGTCGCCTAAAGAGAAACTCCGTTAGAAAATAAGAAATGCAGCGTAGGAATACAGGTGCTGGTCATAAAGTTAGAATATCAGGAAAAAGTTGATTTGTTTCAGTAATTCCATTCAAAAAGTGAAACTTGTATATTATATTCATTCATTACACACAGACTGATATATTTCAAATGATTATTTATTTTAATGTTGATGATTATAACTGACAACTAATGAAAACCCAAATTCAGTATCTCAGAAAATTAGAATTTTACTTAAAACCAATAAAAAAAAAAAGATTTTTAGAAATGTTGGCCAACTGAAAAGTATGAACATGAAAAGTATGAACATGTGCAGCACTCAGTACTTAGTTATTGCTCCTTTTGCGGCGTAGCATGGAGTCCATCAGTCTGTGTCACTGCTCAGGTGTTCTGATAGTGACCTTCAGCTCTTCTGAATTGTTGGGTCTGGTGTATCACATCTTCCTCTTCACAGTAACTCATAGATTTTCTATGGTGTTAAGGTCAGGTGAGTTTGCTGGTCAATTAAGAACAGGGATACCATGGTCCTTAAACCAGGTACTGGTAGCTTTGGCACTGTGCGCAGGTGCCAAGTCCTGTTGGAAAATGAAATCTGCATCTCCATAAAGTTGGTCAGCAGCAGGAAGTCTCTAAAACTTCCTGGTAGACGGCTGTGTTGACATTGGACCTCAGGAAACACAGTGGACCAACACCAGCAGATGACATGGCACCCCCAAACCATCACTGACTGTGTAAACTTGACACTGGACCTCAAGCAACGTGGATTCTGTGCTTCTCCTCTCTTCCTCCAGACTCTGGGACCTTGATTTCCAAAGGAAGTTCAAAATTTACTTTCATCAGTGAACATAACTTTGGACCACTCAGCAGCAGTCCCAGGCGAGACGCTTCTGACGCTGTCTCTTGTTCAAGAGTGGCTTGACACAAGGAATGCGACAGCTGAAACCCATGTCTTGCATATGTCTGTGCGTGGTGGTTTTTGAAGCACCGACTCCAGCTGCAGTCCACTCTTTGTGAATCTCCTCGACATTTTGGAATGGGTTTTGTTTCACCATCCTCTCTGGGATGCGGTTATCCCAATTGCTTGTACACTTTTTTCTACCACATCGTTTCCTTCCCTTCACCTCTCTGTTAATGGGCTTGGACACAGAGCTCTATGAACAGCCAGCCTCTTTAGCAATGACCTTTTGTGTCTTGTCCTCCTTGTGCAAGGTGTCAATGGTTGTATTTTGGACAACTGTCAAGTCAGCAGTCTTCCCCATGATTGTGTAGCCTACAGAACTAGACTGAGACCATTTAAAGGGTTTTGCAGGTGTTTTGAGTTAATTTTCTGATTAGAGTGTGGCACCTGGAATTACTGAAATAAATCCACTTTTGCTCATGTTCTAATTTTATGACCAGCACCTGTACACCCCCTCACCCCCGTGTTCAGGCCGATACCTCGTCCAGCAGAATGATCTGAGGTGCTTTGAGGATTGTTCTGGCGATGGCGACCCTCTGCTTCTCCCCTCCGCTCAGCTTCAGACCTCGTTCGCCCACTTGCGTATCATAACCTGCCAGATACCGACGGTAAGAATAAACTCAAACTCTTCGGCTGCAACGCTCGACAGACGGCACTACCTTCAGGGAACGTGGCGATCTTATCGTGTATGTCCGCTGCCACAGCGGCCTCCTCCACCTCCTGGTCGGTGGCGGTGTTGCGACCGTAGCGAATGTTTTCCCGGATGATGTCGTTGAAGAGGACGGTGTCCTGAGGAACCACACCGATGTGCGCTCGCAGCGAGGACTGCTTCACCTGCAGAACGACATCGAAGCATCTGTTAGCAGAATATCTCGTGAACCACTGGACAGCGACCAGTGCATCTTTCTGAGTCGACATAATCAAGATGGCTGCTACGGCCAGCTTTAAGTCAGTCAGTCATGTGATCCTGAGAACCGTTACCTTTGAGATATCCTGGTCATCGATGCGAACGCAGCCGCCCTGAACATCGTAGAAGCGGAAAAGCAGCCGAATGATGGTGCTCTTCCCCGAACCCGATGGTCCGACCTGAAAATAGTAACAGCAGCACGGTGACAAAGTACACAGAGAGCAACGAGAATCCCTCGATTTAAAATCCGTCGTACCAGCGCAACAGTTTGTCCCGGGAGAACGGTGAAGGAAACGTCCCTGAGGATCTCTTTGCTGTAAATTAATAAGGACACATTTTATTTGAAGGCGCCTTTCAAACCACTCAAGGTCACCGAACAAGAAATACAAAAATAAAAAACATTAAGACAATAAAACGTAGATAATAAACGGGTAATGGTAGAATACATAATGACATTAAACAGAATAAGCAAGTTTGGAAAAAGTGAGTTTTAAGGTTAGATGTAAATGAGGACAGAGAATCAGAATTGCGGATGTAATGATCTTGAAGTCGATGCAATATTTTATGAGTAACCAGTAAAATGTTTAAGGATAGGGATGATGTGTTCCTTCGAAGTAGTTCTGGTGATGATCCGAGCAGCTGTATTTTGGACAAGCTGAAGTTTATGGATAATTTTAAGAGGAAGACCTGAGAGGAGGGAGTTACAGTAACCTAATCAAGATGTGACTAGAGCATTGATAAGGATGGCTGTACTGGTGGGAGTAAGAAATGAACGAGACGGTTGAGGTTTCAAATATGAAAATATGTAGACCGAGTAATGTTACTGACATGAGATTCAAACGATTAAGTGCTACTGAGCATGACACCCAGACTCTTAGCTGTAGGGGAGGGAGAAACTATGGAATCATCAACTTTAATTGTGAGACAATTACATTTGAATAAGGTAGACTTGGTACCAACAAGGAGAAGTTCTGCTTTCTTGGCGTTCAGTTTAAGAAAGTTTTGACTAAACCAAAAATTAATTTCACAGAGGCAGTTTGAAAAGAAAGATGGTGGAAGGGTGGTGTTGGGCTTGGTGGAGAAGTAGAGCTGGGTGTCGTCCGCATAGTAGTGAAAATTAATACTAAATTTACTAAAAATGAGACAAAGTGGAAGAAGATAAATGATAAACAGCAGAGGACCAAGAACAGAACCCTGAGGTACACCTGAAATAACTGGGACAGTGACTTGAAGTTCCTAAGTTGGACAAAGTGCTGATGGTCAAAAAGATAATGGAAAAAAAAAAAAGAAACGAGATTCGGTTCACATCTAAATCAGTCGTAAACAGTCAGATTAAATTGTTAAAACGTGAACGAACCCGTTGGTGTAGCTGAAGAAAACGTTCTCGAACTCTATTTTTCCCAGTTTATACTGCAGATTTCCTGCATTTACGTGATCCTTCACCTGAAAATGGAAAAAAAAAAAAACCTCAAAAAAATGCGCCCACAACACAAAAATTACAGCCAAATTACTCTTCGGCTTCAAATCTACCTCTTCCTCTTCCTCAAAAAGTTTGAACATGCTTTCCATGTCAATGAAGGAGTTCTGGATCATTCTGCGGAAACAAAGGGAACATTAGAGCGATGCAGTCAGCTGGCTGAATTTAAAGCATCTTACCTGTAGTACGTCCCAAACCAGTTGAGCGGGGTGTACAGCTGGATGATGTAGGTGCCGAAGAGAACAAAGTCTCCAACCTGGGATCAGAAGATTTATTTAAAAAAAAAAAAAGTTAAACGAACGTTGAAATATTTTGAGTTAAAATGGCGTCGGCACCTGAAACTTTCCCTCCGTGACGAAGTAGGCGCAGAGCAGGGAGCCGGCCAGCAGACCCGAGCCGATGACGACGTTCTGAGTTTGGTTGAGCAGCGCCAGGGAAGCCTGAGTCTTCCACTCTGAGGACTGGAGCAGAAGACGAGAAACGTTAGGATTCAAGTTCAACGAGTTCTAAAAGAATTAAATCAATTATCTGGAAAAAAAAATAAAAAAATTCTACACGTAACTACAGATTTATTTGCAGAAACATCAAAGGATCAAATGCTCCAAAAGTTGTTAAATTTCCCAGGCTCTTCTCTGTAGATGCCTCCACCTCTATGAGCTCTCTTCCACCTGCCCTAGTCTCACTATAGACCACAATTTAATCTTAAACCCTCACAGCCTGTGGAGAACCAAACTTCATCCATCCATCCATCCATCCATCCATCTTCTTTACCCGCTTATTCCATTTTGGGTCACGGGGGTCGCCAATGCCCATGTCCAGCAATCACTGGGCGAGGGGCGGGGTACACCCTGGACGGGTCGCAAGTCCATCACAGGGCCACATAGAGACAAACGAGACAAACAACCATTCACTCTCTCACTCACACCTAGGGACAATTTAGAGTTACCAATTAGCCTAACATGCATGTTTTTGGTCTGTGGGAGGAAACCGGAGCACCCGGAGAAAACCCATGCAATCACGAGAAGAACATGCAAACTCCACACGGAAAGACCCCAGGTCCAACTGGGGATTGAACACAGGACCTTCTTGCTGTGAGGCAACAGTGCTAACCACTGAACCGTTGTGCTGCCAAATAAAAGTAGTGCTAAAAGAACACTGGTCCTGTTAGCAGTGATGTTCTCTTTAGCAGCGCGGTCCTGTTAGCAGCGCTGTCCTGTTAATAGTGTGGTCCTGTTAGCAA